TGCATCTGGATGGCCAAAGGCTTGTCCCAGACTCTCCTTTGAGCCTGGAGTCCTATGATTGTGCGAACCGTTGCTGGTCTGTAATCGACTCGTGCGCATGCACCTTCTATAATGCTTTTGGCCTCCCCGCTGGGGCGTTTGTGTGGCTCTGCTGTACATGCGACAAACCTGAGCAGGGGCCTTTGCGCATTTGTCCTCCAGGCCCAGACCTTCTTGAGCCTTGAGTCCTTTGATTGCGCGTTTCTTCATTCCAGTTTTTATCTACAAGGTTGTGTTCGATCGGAGTGCAAACGTTGGTCCCAGCAGTCCGGGTGCTTGTTGGTACAGAGAAAGAGCACCCTGATCGGTGCTTCCATCTTTGCCACTGCGGCGAGCAGGGACTGCTCTTGATGTGCGACCCATGGTGCCGTGTGGTCTCGCTGGTGTAGAGTGGGAGACCACTTTGCCCAGCAAAAGTACATGAGGGCCTGTCGACCTGTCCACGACGAGTCTACGACTTGAATGTATTCAACGTCACCGTGGACATTGGACCAAGACACCTTGTAGGACAGTCCCCGGTTTTGGCGAGGACATTGAGGCGACGACCCGATTCCTCTGCGGTGTGGTCGGTTCTCCGGCACTTGCATCAACATCCGCACAATCATAAAAAAAAGGCGTTGTACTGGGGAAAGCCCCACCGGAAAGCCACTGAAGAGAACTGGAGGGCGCTTTGGTTCTTGTGTTCCGAAACCATCCACTGGAGTTCTTTTCTGCATTGGAACATCGTGTCATCCAATGTACGTAGCGCCGTCTCGATCTGGTGGACGAGGTTTGAGATCTCCGGCCTGATAACTCTTATCACTGCATTGTGTTGTTGGTATCCATTCCCATATGCCCAGCTGTGACCTGTGTTGCCGCCGTGGAAAAGGATGCACCAAAAAGCTTGGGGGCGCCTTTTGGTCGACTGCCTGTGCTGCCAGTAGATGTTCTACATTGCGACGTGGTCCACCGAGCGAAAGCCCGTACACTTCAAGATGAACTTTCAGGGCGCCCTGGTCTGAACCTGAAGCCATGGCGCCGAAACTAGGCAAGCTGCTGCTTACGAACGGTGTGGTCGAATTGAATTGCGAACCACACAAAACTTGCAATCTGCCTGCAAATCTTGCAGCCGATGCGCCGTGTCAAAATTTATACAGTATACATAAAGGAAGTTGCCGTCATGCCGCAACCGTTTGCCAGCGGGAGTCAGACTAGACATTGTTGATGGGCTGTGCAGCTTCTTTACCACCTTGTGAGGCGCATGCATCAATAACTCCATTTGTGTTTGTGCACGTGAGTGTGATGGGAATGCGACCAGGTCATGGCGAAGCATATCTGTTGCACGGGAGGGGCAGGCACGATTTGCGAGTCCATTGGCAGATGAATCCTGTTGCATGTCCAACAAACTGTTTAACGCAATTACATAAGCATGTTGTGGTTCATGTATGTGTACGTTTGTCGCCAACTTACCACTTTAAACAAATCTACTACCTTGTTGAAGCAGGTCTGATTGGCCAGTTTTGGTCCAGCGTAGCAGGACTAGCCACTCGAATGCGGATTTTGCGACACAGACGTTAACAGAGCGCAACAGTAGGGCTTCAAAAAAGTAGAGGTGCAGAACAGGAAGGCACCAATCAGGAAGGGAGGTGTGAAGCGTTTTGCACGGATTTGCGCACGCACTGAGCGAAGAGCCGAGACAGCAGTTCCGGCAGGAATTACAGCCTCAAACGGCCACCATACAAGTCAAGGGACATTGGGATAAGCAAAGCTTGGCACTTAGGGGTCAGCTTCCGTTGGGCTCTCTGCCAAGCTGGCAAGCAGGTGTTTGTTGCTCTTTCTTTTTTTTTGTGCATCCGACACGGAATTTCATGTGTACGTGTGTGACTGTCTGTCATGTGTGATTTTGTGCTTACAACTGTATGTTGATATACGTAGCTACATATCTACGTAAAATGCAGTAACATACACGTGAATCGGCAATCCACCCCGAAGAACTGGATGTATATATCGGATTCCGTGCGTGCGTACATGTAGAGTGCGCGTGGGTGAACTTACCTGCTTTGTCTGCTGTAGACGTACACCCGCTTTTTTCCGTGAGCAGTCACAGCAGGCATACAATCCCCGCTCTGTGTTGACGTGCTTCAGGCTACATCGGCTCGCACACGGTTGTGAAGCTACTGGAAAGTGGCTACAAGGTCTCAATTATGGACAACCTGATCAACGCGAGCGAGAAGGTTCGTGCATGAGTGCATGAGTGCCAGCGTGTTCCCACTTCTTGTTGGCAGAAGCCGTATGTGACGGTGTTCTCCTTCAGCGCGTGTGTCCATGAGGTCGTCCCCAGACTACAAGAGCTGACCGGAAAAGAGGCACACGTGCAGCAGCTCTGGAATACAAGCGTAAGGCATAGATCATAGCATAAGTCATTGCCCTTCGTTGACCAGCATCAGTATTTCATTCTCCAGTTTGAACTGGCCCGCTCGGGTGTGTGACCCTTCTGCATGGTTCGTTACTTGTTTGTCCGGAAATGGACCAGCGAAATCTTGCTGCCGCAGATCCCATTGTTCAAGATCGACGCATGCGATGCTGCAGCGCCGTGCTCGACTGCTGCAGGTTGCAATATGTCTAGTGCACAGACGTCGGTCATCCGGGGATCTTTCATGCTGAAGTGATCTGAGGCTGTTGACAAGCTCTTTTCAGAGCAGAAGTTCGATGGCATCATCCACTTTGCGGGCCTCAAGGTGGATCAATGTCTCAGTTCCACCGTCGCCGCAGATTCCGGTGTTGTGAAGCAGGAGCTATGTTTCGTTGCCAGCTGTGGGGACTGAGGGCTACTCGACCGACCTGTGTTCTGCCTGGCTCCAGCTGAATATCATTGAGTCTGTAGCTTCCAGTCACAGGGGAAGAGATTTTTCTAGGCTGTCTTTCCCACAGCACTAGCACTAGCAAGTCCGGAGCAACTTCAGCAGCTTCGATACCGGTTGACAGATTTAGATTCACACATGCAGCTTCAACCAACTTGGAACGCTGCCCACTCAGAGAACTCACCTGGACGAAGCACAGCGAACCACAGCTGCTGCGCAGCTGCGGGTTCAAGGACTGCAAGTTTTCTGCACCAGCTGTGGGGGACGGAGATGAACATCGATTCCTTTGGATTTCACGGCACGGTCCGTTGTCGGATTTTGTATGTTTCGTTCCGAGTCCCCCTGCTCGAAACTCAGGTTTGGGGTGGCGTGGTAGCAATAGACAAATCATTGCACGCGGAGCATCTCAATCGCAGTGGTGGTGGGAATGTGGTATCTTCGAGGACTTCGGCAAGACGGGTCAACATGCAGAAAGGCCCATGATGGGCCGCGAGCCCCAGCATTGCGAGAGAAACCTGCATGACCATTTCCGCTTGGAGGCATCACACTCTTCATTCTGGTCAGATGAGAAATCGGCTTGGGCTCCTTGCTGCCGTTGTCTCCAGCATTATTCAGGCAGATGTGTGTTGGGCTGTCGATGCGCCAGTTCCTTTGCCTCCTGTTTTTCCTGGCGTTCCTTGGATTGCAGGTGGCGAGTTCTGAGCTTCTGGCTCTGTCAGTGAGCTCCTCTTCACCAGGCCGGCTTCGCTCAGATTATGCGTTGTCTGTCTGTCTGTCTGTCTGTCTGTCAGTCAGTCCGTCAGTCAAGTATGCATGTGTTCGTATATGTATATGTATGTTTGTTTACATGAGTAAATGTAAATATTTACATAAACAGATAAAGGAATATAAATAAAAAGCATATGTTTATGTGTATATATAAATATATGTATATGTATATGTATATGTATATGTATATGTATATGTATATGTATATGTATATATATATATATATGAATGAATATATATGTATACATATCGCTCACGATATAAAGGAATATATGTACACACACACTATTTCTACGATGTGGTCCTTACTATGTATTGTGAGATGGCGAGGCCAATTGGATGTCTTATTCGGTTCGGCGGCCGTCACTGCCGGAGCGGCAGGAGCATCGCAGGCCCACGCCTAGAACATAGTTGTCAGTTGGGATCCCTACTTTTGAGCATGTCCTCCCCCTTTTCCAGGCAAGTTGCGGCGTCCTCAATGCGATGCGCTCAGTGTTCGGAAGATCTGGTCTTAGGGATCTGTGGGGCATCAAGAGAACCGCTTCAACTGTGCTCCCCGAGGCTTGGATAGTCACGGTGACGGAGCTGGGTGGAACTTCCACCGAAGTTGATGTGCCTTCTTCAGTTCAGAGTTCCGGTAGCAATGTAAGTCGTAAACCATCCGTCATGTGCTTGTACCAGGTCGGGGCAAATTGCAATCTTCCAACACCTTCTCTCACAGGCTCGTGCCCAAGACTTTCTTAGACGCAGGGTCTCTGAAGGTGTTGCTCAGAAGCGGAAGACCATGAGACCATGACTAGGTCACACCTGCCAACTTGGTCTGCAAAGCAACACGGACTACACAGTGGAGGCTCAGCCCGGGACTTTGGAAGAGCAGTGAGGCCTTGTGAGGCCAAACCTTTGCTCCTAAATGCCAGCCTTGTGTCCGTAAGACGATTTCGGAGACGGTAGTGTGGACTGTCCCAGGTCCTAGCGAGTCGAGTTGTTTATTCGACATGCTTGGCTGAACATGTGTCGTTTCTTTCCGTTGTGGGAGAGGTGATGGAGGAGTGCAACGAGACAGAGGCTTGCCAGATGCCTGCACCGTCGGTTTGTAAGACGGTATCGGGTATGCCGCCATTCTACGAAGGCCAGAAACAGTTCCAGCTCTTCGGTTCGCACTCTGCCACAGCTCCGTGGTTGCAAGGTTGTTTCTCTCAAAGCTAGCTTCCTGGGGCAATCTTGGCTCCGCTAGCGTGCCTTGCCGCCTTGCTGTCTTCCAACGAATGTTTCACAAATTGTCAGATCATTCCAAAGCTGAGCCGGCTCGAAGATTTTTGTCATTACAGACTGCGCCGCCTTCCTTGACGTGTGAGACGCTTGCTGAGGCCAGCATCGGCCCCGAATTTGGTGATCGCGGATGTCAGCGACATCCTCAGAAGAGTCGGAGTTGCGGCTGAAGGGCTGGAGTGATACAGCCGTGACGTGTTTCGATTCGCGAGGTAGGACATCGCTGTCCCTCGAATGGTCCTCTGGCGGGGATGGAGACTGCATCTTCCAGAGCTGGGAGGCGATCTCTGAGCACGTTTCATTCTGACACGGAGTCCCCATGGCCAGCCGCGCACTCAAGGCAGAGTGGCGTCCCTTTGGGGGAAGCTGGATGCTAGCAGAGAACGAGACGGGCACGTCGGAGATCCTCACGGGCTTGCAGGCGCTAGCATTCTTCATAAGGTTCAGGGCCTCAGGGTTTGTTATTTGCAGCTGCTGGCGCTTCAGCCAACCTTTGCATGGTCATGCATGGTGCGCATGGTCATTGGACTGCAGGAAAACGCCGCGTACGAGTTCAGAGTGCGGCAGTTGTGCACCGTCGGGACCTCGTACATCCCCAGACTCCCGAACTTACAGGTTTCTCCCTGCGACCTAAGGACAGCAGCTTGAACTCTGCTTATGCAGACTTTCCAGAGTCCCTCCTCACACTTCCTGGCATCTTCAGCGCGGCAGCCCCAGCTAGGAGCACGGCAGAAGGATCGTAGAGTCCAGCTGTACTGCTGTCCTCGTGATAGTGTCCTAGTTGCCGGCACTGGGAATGGTACTAAAAGACCGTTGGCATCATATGGATGATAACCATCATCTTCAAGATAAAGCAATACCCATAATACCAATGCTGGCGACAACATGTCCCTGCAGAGGTCTTTGTGGGAACCAGCACGGACACGCGAGTCATTCAGTTGAGTTCGAGGCCCAGAAGCGGAACGGCTGCGACGGTGCAATTTCTGCTGGTTGTTTGTTGACGGAAACTGGAACCATGCTCCATCATACTTGAGTCGCTCAGGTTACGGCCCGTCGCGCTGCCGTGTGCTGAAGCAGTGTTGTGGAGATCAATTCACTGTCCCGAGCACAGCTCCTGCTGGAAGACTAGAAAACCAAGCATGTTTTCAACAACTTTGCTTTTTGAAGGTCTGTCACAGTGGAGAAGCGAGAAAGACGGTCTCTTGTCTGCAGTCAGAGAATACGGATCATGCGCTTAGCTCCTTTCTTCTTTCTGTGACGGCAGTGCGCCTCTGAAGCCATGAGCAGGTGACCTTGAGCCGCATGGATGTGATGGGTGGCTGGGGCCAGCCTCTCTGGTCCGCTCCCTCGGACATTAGACTGATGAAGCTGTTATATATATATACACATACATATACATATATATACATACATATACATACATATACATACATGCATGCATGCATGCATACACATACACATACACATACACATACACATACACCTACACCTACACCTACACCTACACCTACACCTACACC